ATTGATATCGAAGGGGTAGAGGAGAAAAAAACATAAAAAAAAAAAGAGAGAAGGAAGTCATGAGAGAAGTTGTCACTAATTTTCTTTGGAAAAAAACGGCTAGAAAAAGACGCTGTCATTTTGTTTTACTTTGAAAGTGTTATTTTGGGGGTTCATAAAGATTATAATGTTTGATATAATTTGATTAAGTTTTTTTTCATAAAGATTGCATATATGCAATCTTTACGAAATATACTTAGATTAAGTTTTTTTTTAATATAATTTCTTATATGATCTTATAATTATAATATATAATAAAAAAGTTAATGGTCAGAGTTGAATTCGCCTAGGAAGTAGTAGTATTTAAAAAAAAGTGCTCAATACACATATAAAAAGATAAAATTTTAACACGCAGATCTTTTAAGTATAGAAAATGAAGAAATCAGCCGATTCCGCTACCTTGGTTGCGATCTTTCGCTATCTTTACGCCATTTCGCTCAATTGATTTTCTAACGCATTATATTTTAAAAAATAAACAAAACTGGAAATATATCGGTGGGGAATTAAATGAAATATACAAACGTTCTTAAAATGAACTCAAAAGTAAATTTTTACCATGTATACAACCGCTCATAATTTCCGGTCACTGATTCAAAAGATTTTTTTGTCTGGAAATGTTATTCTTGTTGACAAACGTTGGAGATTCATTGTAAAATTTGCTTTATAAAAATTTTCCAGTTTACAATTGTTTTTCTCCTTTAATTTCCACACAGGATTGGCTATTTTAGTAGAATTTCTAGCTTAAAAGAAAACTTAAGATTGCACCAGCTCTTTTTAAATTTACTCTCATTACGCCCTATATATATTTTTCTGGCAATTTGATATTTATTACTTCTACTTTGTAAATTACTGCTTCAGTTTTGCAAAGTCCATCTAAAGGATATTTGCTTTTATTTCTACAATTGCATATATTACCGTTAAAAATGTTTTGCTGCACGCTAGTTCTGAAATTTCTTGCGTTTCGCCTTTTTATAAAGAGATCCGAGTAAAAAAAATAATATTAATTATATACTGTATTAAATTCAATATATCTAATTTAATCATTGGTAATGACTCCTCTCCACATGCTAACGTATAGCAAAAAGTCAATATTGTATATAAATTTAAATGACCCTTGGGAGATTGCATCCCCAACAGAAAAAATAATATATATGTTGGCCATACCGCTATTGCCTTGTCTCGGCGGTTGATTTTTCATTTAAATGATGCATCTAACATCTCTCAACATTTACAACTGCATGCCTCTCCACATTTATAATTTAGGGAAATTCTTATGGAAAATACATTCATACTTTTTCATGAAAACAATAAACATAAACTAAGAATTCTTGAAGCTATCAATATTAAAAAATTGAAAAGGGCCTTAATAAAATTTATTATGAATACTGCAGAATTTTTTCAAAGTGTTTACAATAGTTAGTTTAAAATATGTAGGTTTTGACTAATAGTTTTAAATAGTTTTTTTAGACATTTCAATAACTTAATTACGTCCCTTTGCGTTTGCAAGTATGTCTACATGATAAAATTTAAAAATTGTACAATGTATAATCTTAGCAAGTTTCACTTCACACTTACAAACATTTAATTTTCAGATGAACATCACAATTTTTTGTCATAGAAAAAAACAAGATCTTGATGATGATATCGTGCTAATGTCGAAAGTACTTGGAATAAAATGATATGCATCAACAGGTTAATTTTCTTTCTTCCCTTAATAATGATACTAAGAAATGTGTCCTTAATTACGAGAGGATCTGATTAAAAATAAGTAGAAAAAATTTGTCTAAATTATTTAATATATGAGCAAAGAGCAGTTATTCGATTTTTTTGGTCGGAATGTGTGTCAAGGGCTGAAATTTATTGGACGCGATAATTCTCTCTCGCGTAGAAGTGTATGTGCGTGAATCAAGAAGTTTTAAAGTGGCCAGAGAAGCGTGATGCAGGAAAAAGGAGCAGGGCGTCCCTCAACCTCCACCACTGACAAGAAGATTCAGTAAGTTCGAGAGATGATAATGCCGGACCATTGATAAGGTAGCATGTTCTCTGCAGATTCGGATTACGACTCGTTGTTCCTCCTTGGTGCACACTGCTGGCGGAGCGTCTAAGTTTACACTGTAAGAGGAGCAAAAAATAAACTTGCCCCATTAAACTCAAATTCCGATTATGTGACTACAATATTACCAACTAGAAGTGCATATGAGCAGAAGTCAGTGTGATAAACCTCAAGTTATTTTATGGTGAGAGAACGGAGAAATATGGACTTACTTCATAAAAAATATATCATATAATTTAATAATTATTGGTTAGAATAAATTCTTTTTTAATATTATCCGTTTTTTAAAGATCTGAATAGCCATTATAAGATGACTTCGTTGTCAAGCTTTTTGAATTTTCCTATACTTGTATTTTGATTGGTCAATCTAGCTTTTGGAACAACGTTTTCCCCTTGCGAAGGATCGTTAATTAATTTGAAACTTTTAAAACCATTTATTTTACATTCAACATCATCACTTGATAAGACACCGGATGTGTTGAAACAAAATGGCTATTTTTGTAGTGATTTTATAACATATTTATGTTATAATATTTTTTAAATAAATAATTATATATATATATATATATATATATATATATATATATATATATATATATATATATATATATATATATATATATATGTCTGTGTGTGCGTGTGTGTGTGTGTTTCATTAAAGACGACAGAAAGGTACTACGATTAAGCTTTTATTTAATTTTCTTTGTGTTCGAGCCATTGTTTTCTTTTTTGGGCACAGAGTGTGTAGAAACTGTCCAAAACAGGAAAAAAACAAATCAACTACATCAAGTACAAACAAGATGAATCTTCACTTAAAATATTATGAAGAAATGCATTGTCCCATCCGATTCGAATAAATTAATCAAATTAATTATCTACTACAAAAGAATTAAAGCACCTAACCTTTCCTCAAAAATAACAACACACCAACAAAATCAAAGTTACAACGAACATTATCTATGAGTCCAAATGCCCCTTAAGAAACTGTGTTCCTGATCAAACCGAATTCATAAATAATTACATCGATCACACGACTACGTGCTTATCCAGATGACTTACTTTACACTTATCTGACCATCCGAAACATACTAATATAATATTCCCATCCACATGTAAATATACGATTAAAAATAATAAAAGCCTTAATAATAATAAGAAAAATCCAACACTTAATAATATTAACTACGAACACGGACACAGTATACTGTGTTTGGAAAATAAAACATTTCTAAAACACTAAAAACATACACACGACCCACGCACCAATGAAATAGAAAAAAATGCAATCATCCATGATAATGGCTAAAATATATCCGAAAGCGCTCAGAATTATAGAACATTTGGGCAGTTTCTACACCCTCTGTGTCCCCAAAAGAAAACACTTGTTTGAACACATGAAAAATTAACTGAAATGCTTAATCGTAGTACCATGTCTGTTGTTTTTAACGAAACATGTATAAATGAAGGATTGCTGCCTAAATACACAACATATATATATATATATATATATATGGTAAAAATCTAGTTTTAATATATGCAATATTTATGAATCAAAGTGCTCAATATTAGGGATAGAGCGTATGTAAATATAAAAATGGACATTGAAGACAACATCCACCAGCGAAAGATTGATTCGTGCTTCAGCGGAATCGTCAGTCTGTCGATTGTGTTTAAGCATAAATCTCACAGTCGCCGCTGGGTATTGACTTCAATGTTCAATGTCCCTTTTTCCATATATATATATATATATATATATATATATATATATATATATATATATATATATATATATATATCAGCGTTTGTATCTGCATTGATCTCATTTTTGTCTTTTTATGTGTGGGTGTGTGCTTCTTTATATCCCTGAGTGCGCATGTGTGTCTGTGGCTTGTTAGAAATATGTTCTTCCGTCCACCATCTTTCATAGTAATTTCTAAATATAAATTAATAATTCCTCTTTCGTCTTTTCCATTTCCATTTAATCTCTATCGACATAGGTCAGAATATTAACATCTAATTACGCATACAGACAAACATCTTGGGGGATAAGCCTTCCTCTTTTCCCCCCGATGTGGCCTTTCCCAATAATGCCCGCACTTCTGCTGTATTTTTTTGTTTTTTTTTATATATATATATTGTCTTTTATCGTTTCTTTCAAATTCTACTACTTCTTTTTTTTATTTTTGTTTTATTTTTAAGATTCTTTCTTTTTCTCTTTTTTTCTTTCTTTAATTCATTTATTCTATTTTAGCCTGTTCTTTTTCTTCTGTTTTCAACCTTGCTCATTCATGCTTTTAATTTGAACATTATTTTTCTATCTTTCTTTTTCTATCTTTCTTTCTTTTTTCTTTCTATTATTTCTTTTTTTCATTTCAGGCCCTTCTTTCTTTCTTAATGTTTCTTTTCTCTTTTTAACTACAACTTTTTCTTTCGTTGTTTTCTTATTGTTTTTCTTTTTCTTATTGTCTTTTTTCCTTCATTTTCTAACTTACTTGTATCTTCGTTTTCCTTCTTTCTTTCATTTGTTATTTATTTTCTACTTCAAATTTTTCTTTCATATTTCAGTTTGTCTTTTCTCTTTTCCTCCTATTTTTTTGTCTTTGTTTTTTTTTTGTTTTTGTTTATGCTTTTCTTTCATTTTTCCTAATTTCTTTTTTCTACTTTCTTTATTTCTCTTTTTAGCTTTCATTCTTTTTCCTTCATTCATTCTTCTTTTTTCTTTTTCTTTTTAGACTTTTTTTTTTCATTTTGATTTTTTCTATTTTCTTTTTTTTCATCTGATTTCTTTTTTTTTTTCTTTTTTCTTTCATTTTTTCTTTCTTTTTTTTTTTCTAAATTCGCCAATGTTTTTTTTTTTCTTTTTCCTTCCTTTTGATAAGAATTCTTTATCTTATTTTTTTTTTTTATTTCTTTCTATTTTTTTCTTTTTTGGATTCTTTTTTTTTTTATTTCAGCTTCCTTTCGATCTTTCTTTCAGGCATTCATTCATGTCTTCTCCCTCCTTTTCTTTCTTCTTTCTTCCTTTTTGTTATTCCTTTCTTTATCTATTTCCTTTTGATTTTAGTTTCTTTTCCTTTCTTTTCTTTCTTTTCATCTGATTCTTTCTTTCTTTCTTTCTTTCTTTCTTTCTTTCTTTCTTTCCGTCTTTCTTTCTTTCTTTGTTATACTCTATATCCCTTTTTCTCCTGTCTTCTTCTCCTCTTTCTTCTTTTTTCTTCTTTCTTCCTTTTTACTTGATTCCTTTCTTTATCTATTTCCTTTTGATTTTAGTTTCTTTTTCTTTCTATTATTCTTTCTTTTTTCATCTGATTCTTTCTTTCTTTCTTTCTTTCTTTCTTTTCTTTCTTTCTTTTCCGTCTTTCTTTCTTTCTTTCTTTGTTATATTCTATATCCCTTTTTCTCCTGTCTTCTTCTCCTCTATCTTCTTCTTTTTTTTTTTCCTTCCTTTTCCCTTTGATTTTCCTTTTTTTTTATCTATTTCTTTTTTTTGATCTTTTAGTTTCTTTTTCTTTCTTTATTCTTTCTTTCTTTTTCTTTCCGTCTTTTTTCTTTCTTTGATTTATATCCTTTTTTCCTGTTTCTTTCTTTCTTCTTTTCTTTTTCCTTCCTTTTTCTTTTCTTTCTTTATCTTTCTTTGATTTTTCTTTTTTTTTATTATTCTTTCTTTTTTATCTCTTTTTTCTTTTTCTTTCTTTTCCTTCTTTCTTTCTTTCTTTTTCTTCTTTTCTTCTTTTTTCTTTTTTTACTTGATTCCTTTCTTTTTTTATCTATTTCCTTTTGATTTTAGTTTCTTTTTCTTTCTATTATTCTTTATTTATTCATCTGATTCTTTCTTTCTTTCTTCCTTTCTTTCTTTCATTCTCTCTTTCTCGCTTTCTTTCTCACTTTCTTTCTTTCTTTATTTCTTTCTTTCTTTCTTTCTTTCTTTTTAAACTGTATCTCTTTTTCTCCTGTCTTCTTCACTTCGTTTTTCTTTTTCTTCTTTTTCCTCTTTTTTTTTCTTTTTCTTCCTTGATTCCTTTCTTTATCTATTTCCTTTTGATTTGACTTTCTTTTTTTTCTGTTTGTCTTTCTTCTCTCTTTATCTGATTGTTTTTTTCTTTCTTTATTATACACTGTATCTTTTCTTCTTCTTCTTCACTGTTCTCTCCACCTTCCACGCACCTTTGCCAATCGGCCGTTGATATAAACACTCACTAAGTTATATGCATTAAGATATTATATGCGTGAGTGACCTCCCTTGCTTTTTTTGCTTGCTTCTTCTGTCCATTCCCGTGGGAAGAAGTGAGGTTACAGACGGAAAAAGATAGAAAATATCTGGCCTTGGCAAGGCCGTACAAAAGGACAAAGCAAGATTATCTAAAAAAGAAAAAAAAAATCCAAAACCAAAATTAATATCTATCAAAAAGAGGAATTACGAGAGAAAGTGGAAGGTTGGTGGCAAATACGGGAGTACGTAAAGGACAATGAGAAACAAAAAAAAAATTAGCTCGAAGCTAGACCGAAAACAGTGGGCAAATGCGCCAAACAAGATATTTCTCCGATTGCATTTGTAGATGGACGAGGTTTTTTTGTCCCCTGTGTAAGGTATCAAAGTTTTCATTCGAAGGCCGGAGATTATTTGGAATGTTTACGCCATTTTCTTTGCTTGTTTCTTTTTGAATATTTCTTTTCGCTTTTATTGGTGGTGGCGAGGTTCAAGTGTACGTATATATTTCTGAATCTGTGATACATGGACAGGTGAGGAGAAAGAGAGAGAAAGCGAGATTTTGGAAAAAGAGAGATAGTATGTTGGTCTAGAGCAAACGCAGGAAAACGATGAGAAATAATAATAAAAAAAATGATCTCACTACTTAGTAACCATTAATCTATCGATATTAATAGAATTTATACCGAACAAATTCCACAAGTCAGTAGCCCAATGGTGATTGAAGCGTATATTTTATGCAACATATATTTATTTTGAACACAAACTGATCGATTTTAAGGCACTTAATTCAATCATAAATACAATCAAATAATTCAAAGGTTCCAAATAGAATAAAGTTTTTTAATTCACATCATACTGCAGAATTATTGTATCTCTCCTGTATACAAGACACGCACAAACACCCCCCCCACACACACACTGTATCTCTTCATCTCTCTTTCTTTGTTTCTTTGTTTCTTTCTTATACACTGTATCTTTTCTTCTCCTTTCTTTCTTTCTTTCTTTCTTTCTTTCTTTCTTTCTTTCTTTATACACTGTATCTCTTCTTATCCTGTCGTATCCTCTTTCTTTCTTTCTTTATTTATTTATTTATTTATTTTTTTTTTTTATACACTGTATCTCTTCTTTCTTTCTTCTTTTCTTTCTTTCTTTTCTTTCTTTCTTTCTTTCTTTCTTTCTTTTCTTTTTTTTTCTTTCTTTCTTCTTTCTCTTCTTTCTCTTTCTTTCTTTCTTTCTTTCTTTTTCTACACTGTATCTCTTCTTTCTCCTTTCTTTTTCTTTCTTTCTTTCTTTCTTTCTTTTTTCTTTCTTTCTTTCTTTCTTTCTTTCTTTCTTACACTCTTTCTTTCTTTCTTTCTTTCTTTCTTTCTTTCTTTCTTTCTTTCTTTTTTTCTTTCTTTCCTTTCTTTTTTTTTTTTCTTTCTTTCTTTCTTTCTTTCTTTCTTTATACACTGTATCTCTTCTTCTCCTGTCTTCTTCTCTTTCTTTCTTTCTTTCTTTCTTTCTTTCTTTCTTTCTTTCTTTCTTTCTTTCTTTCTTTCTTTCTTTCTTCTCCTGTCTTCTTCTTTTCTTTCTTCTTTCTTTCTTTATTTCTTATCTTTTTCTTTCTGTCTTCTCTTTCTTTCTTTCTTTCTTTCTTTCTTTCTTTCTTTCTTTCTTTCTTTCTACACTGTATCTCTTCTTCTCCTGTCTTCTTCTTTTTCTTTCTTTCTTTCTTTCTTTCTTTATACACTGTATCTCTTCTTCTCCTGTCTTCTTCTCTTTCTTTCTTTCTTTCTTTTTTTTTCTTTCTTTCTTTCTTTCTTTCTTTCTTTCTTTCTTTCTTTCTTTCTTTCTTTATACACTGTATCTCTTCTTCTCCTGTCTTCTTCTCTTTCTTTTTTCTTTCTTTCTTTCTTTCTTTCTTTCTTTCTTTCTTTCTTTCTTATACATTGTATCTTTTCTTCTCCTGTCGTCTTCTCTTAGCATCCGCGAATACTTTTATCCCCCCAACTAAATCAACTTATAAATACCTATTTTGATGATTTAAAACCCCATATGCATACCATGATAAAAATTTCCCAGAATAAATAAAATTTTCTTCAAAATCTTATATTATTATTAAAAGTAGGATTAATATATATATATATATATATATATATATATATATATATATATATATATATATATATATATATAAACAAATAAACAAATGACGTCATATATTAAGAAATGGACAAAGTCCGACAATTTATTTATTAAAGACATTTTTATGTTTAACGTTCTTTTTACAGATACAAGTATTTTGTTTACATTTGATACATAGGCAGTTATGAATGTACGAGATTCATGGAAGATTGAAGTTTATAAGCAGTAAATTCGACCTTGCCTACCGAACGCTCCTTTGTGGCCGAGACGGTAAGGCACGTCAGCGTAAATGACGGTTCCGTATAGGATGCAGGTTCGAATCCTGTCAAAGCACGAATATTTTCTATGAAAATTTCTCGGACATTCAGGCCGGTAAATGTTATTTAATACTGTTTATTATAAACAGAGCATTTACTTAAATACTTGTATCTATAAAAAACAACGTTAAACATAAAAAAAAATGTCTTTAATATATAAATTGTCGGACTTTGTCCATTTCTTTATATATATTACAATTCAAAATTTTGAGGCCAACTGTGCTAATGTTTTTAAATTGGTCAAAAAAGTAGTTATTTTGTACTTTAAGAGAAAATTATTCAGAGAGTCCCCCCCCCCGTATTCGCGGGAGTTAGAGACCCGAACCGACCGCAAATAGCAACCGTGAATACTTGTAACCACCCTCCCCGCAAAAGTGCTTATAATATCTGTTTTGATGGTTAACACCCCATATGCCTTAAACGTTCATCCTAAACACTTTAGAAACTTTTCAGACCCTTTTAAAAACATTTTTGAAAAATAGTATTGCTGATCATCCACCATTTTATTTCATATTTACAATAACCGTTGTTAATTACGCATAGATCGATACAACCATTGAAAATACTGTATAAAATATGTGTAACAAGATCTACAATATAAAGTTTAAAACATGTTAAAATAGAACTGTGATGATGTCTCCTGACTCAGCATATGTCACTTTTAAGACCCCAGCCGCAACCCCTAACGAAGAAAAAGCTACGCACTAAGCACATTTTTGTGTTTTTTTTTCCAATGAAGATGTACAATTCTGCCAATGTTTGCCATAAAAATAGAGTGTTATATATTTTAAGTCAATTAAAAAAGAGAAAAGTAATAGAAGAATATTTTAAATATGTTTTATCGAAAAAAATATGCGAATCCTTCCCCCAATGCAGTCTTGGTTCTTTTGATTGCAATCTGGTCTTCAGTTGGTGGAGATTTCTTTTAGTGAGACATAATCTTACCGTACGCGATAGGCAACAATAAACTGCAGAAGAACTTAAAATTGATCGTTGCATTTATTACATTACTATTTAAGATTACCTTCAACCGACAATTCTTCTGCCGTCACTAAATTTAAGACAATTTCATGTACGCATGTCCTTATTTTCCGTACAGATAATTATTTTTATTTCATGGGAGACTTTCCCTGGATTCACGATTTATTTCAGTTATTCCCAAATTTATTTCCAAGTTATAAAAATTTCTAACAAAAAAATCTCTGCAAAAATCTCCGAAAAGTAAATAAAGTAAACCTGGGAATTCATAATTTCAAGATCCGGCCCGGAATATTTTTATTTGCGCATGGAGTCAGCCTGATTCGGAAATACTATGATATGTTGGGCTACGGCCTCTAGGAGTAAAACTGAAAAAGTGTGACACACTGACATTCACATTTATTTTTATAGATTTCTAAAGGATTGATGGATTTATTTTTAATCCTACATTAAACGTTATTATAATGGATAATCGTATTTAAAATAGACGCCACTCTTTTTATTTTTACTTTAAAAAGTGTTTATTTCATCTATAGGTTTGTGTATTCCACAAATCTTAAATAAAAAATAAAATAAAAATAAAAATTAGTTGTCTATTTCAAATACAAATCTATTTCAAATAGGAACATCTACTAAGACATATACTAATTACAACCCGGATATAAGAGAGTTGTCGGGATTGGAGAAGTCTCTTATATCCGGGTTTCTCTTATATCCGGGTTTGGTCTATTTTATATCCATTAACACAGGCTCTAATTTGGAACTAGAGAAAATCTCTCTTATACCCGGGTTTCTCTTATACCCGGGTCTCTTATATCCGGGTTACACTATATATATGCTAGTTGTCGACTCGTTAAATCAGTATGACCCTAGCTGACAATTTGGTCAATGGTTTTGGTTCTTGTAAAAAAATGTCAATGGCTCTTGAAGCCTGCAAGAGACCTACAACGATTATTGTAGATGTTGCAAAATAAATAGTTTTATAAAGCACTCGCCTGTTCAACTTGCTTGTGGGTGTATTCATCTGATGGTTGATACCTGAGAGGTTTCAGCACCTTTTCTGCCACATGATAATAATATATTTTCAGCTTAGTACTGATATATACATTACAGCTCAAATGTTGGAGGTTACCTGTGGTAATTTTTTAATTTGGCTAAAAAAAAGTAGTTATTTTGTACTTTAGATAAGAGAAAATTATTATATATGGTTAAAATAACGTGACACATGATGTTGTATTAGAAATTGTATTATGACAAAAAGAAAAAAACATTTTATGATTAAATTTTGCTCTCGTCAAAATGTCCTCTTCTAGCCTTGAGTAATGCAGCACAAATGTTACTCATTCGTTGCAAATATCTCTCAAAAAATAAGTTTCATAACTGAATCCATAATTCTTTTTTGACTTTTGTTTTCACTCTTCTGTCGAGTTAAGCTAATTCAAGGGTGTTGCTTCAAACTGTAGTGTGTTTATGTTTATATATATATATATATATATCCGATGTAATGAGAACGAAAGTAATATATAAATTCTAACGTTCACAGCATTAATTCAAAGAGGGCTCGATACCGATCATTCATATATATATATATATATATATATATATATATATATATATATATATATATATATATATATGGAGAGAGAGAGAGAGAGATGAATTAATTAAATATAATTATCAAATGCTCCTAATAATTACTATCATCCTTGAACCGGTTTCTAATGCTCTAAGTGAGCGGCTTGGTGAGAGTAGTCGTAGTTCAGGGTGGGGGGTGGGCAGTCCTATGGTTACAGAGAACACAGTAAGAATTCCACCACGGAATATGTGAGCGAGCGGCGCTATATTGAGTCTGATTTGCCATCCGGTCGTCTCCGTTGCCCATTAGAACAGTTGGTATGATGTTTGCTTGACAACCTAACTGTCAGGGTTTCAATTCTCAGTAGTGGATGCGCACTACTGATGAGTCCCAAATATAGGCCGAAACAGCCGTCCAGTGCTTTCGGCATTCTGTTGAGGTTTCTATCAGACTCGACGAATTAATTATATATATGTACGTATATTAACTACCTCCAATAATTCGCCGAAAAAGTGCGTAACCCGATAAAAATATTCCCCACAATTTATAAAAACAATGTTTTGCCGTCAAAATCTTATGTTATTATTAAGAGGAAAGATCAAAGTATTTTTATTATATTTTTAACCCTTTCTTGTTATGTTTGAAATTTTTGTAAAATATTGCTGATTATTAAGTGACAGATTCGTTAGATTCGTTAGATTCAAAGAAATGAGTAATGAACTGTTGCGTGATATCTGTCCTCACATATGACAGTGAATGCTGAACAATCTCCTCACAGATGAAGAAAAGACTTGACTCAACAGAAATGTTGTTCTACAGAAGGATGCTGAGGTTTATTATGGACCGAACATGTGAGCAACGACGAATTTTTAAAGAAATTTAACATATAAACAAAGTCAGGAAGAGATAGTTCATAGATAGAAATTTCTAGCGCGCGTAATGAGGAAAGAGGACTCGGAAAATCCGATACTCACAGGAAAAATTGAAGGTAAGAGGGACAGAAGAAAAAAACGCTTTTCATACCTTGTAAACTTGAGTAAATAGATGGCGGAAGAAGGTTTGGAAGAAATAAGAAAAAGAAAAAATTTATTAATAGCTACAAAGGACAGACATTGTGGAGTGCAGTGATATCCTACTTCTCGGGGGAGCACAGTACATGAAGGAGAAGAAAGCTTAATGTTCATATTATTAGGTTGGTGCAAAAATAATGACGTAATAATATATAAATGCAGAACTCCTTGGAAAATGTAAATCATCAATTTCTTTTTTTTTTAAACTGGACAGCCATACTGAAAATCTGCTCGGGATCGTAAAAAAAAATATTTAATAAATGAAATTAGAAAATATTTTATTTTTTTTTTTATTAATGAGATATATTAAATAAACTATTGCCTTCTTTGTCGATGAATAAGAAATTTTTACAAGAATTTCTTTAATTTTTAATTATTTTTAATTAGAATAGTTTAAAAAATTTTGAAAATTAAAATTCTATATTACATTTGTAATATGTTACGCTATATTATTATTAGATTAATATCATTTTTCTAAACATAAATCAAAAATCTTATTACAATTTAGTGACTTTTGTAGAAAGAATTGTTCGTACACGACGTCATCAGAAAGTTATTTAGTTCTCAGCAAATAAAATGAATAATAAGTAAATTTAAGCCAAAGTATCTAAAATTTAATACTACATTAGATTACGGAGAATATTTTCTAAATTTTAAACAAAACTAAGTAATTAAACATTATATAAAAAAGACGATTACGATATATTCTTCAATTACTTTTATATCCACCATAAAAAAGACATCTAATAGCTTCAAGCCGGGACCGAAACCCGACCGATTTGGCATCAGTCGGAGATTCTAACCCTAGGTTATCGGCGCCCAAAAAAGGCGAATTTTTGCGCATTTATTGTTTCATTTACACGCCAGTGACCTAGAAATCTAAATCGGTTGTTTATATATATATATATATATATATATATATATATATATATATATATATATATATATATATATATATATATATAAAAAAAAGATTTTTTTTAAATATTGCTATAATTTCCATAATTTTTCTACACGTGTTTCCGTTCTCGGAAACTTCATCGTGCAAAGCGTAGAGATTTCACATATTATTAAAAAAAAATTTTCTTATGTTTTTCGATGTTAAATATTGTCGATATGAGACATTCTTTTTCAGTGTGTTAGTGACCCAAATGTCTTTCTTGAACTGCTAGTGAAAAGTTCTCTCGTTGAAACTACTATAACCTCTTCCCTATATATATATATATATATATATATATTCTCTCACCGTCAGCACTTCTCGGAGTATATAGCTCTGAAGCGATGAGGCATCACCTTTTATTCCTGTGAAAATAAAGCTTCATAGGGAAGGCACTGGCGCCAGTCCTGCTTCTCATCCATACAAAGGTTGATGCGAGGCTGACTGCAACTGGGAGCAAATATTAAAGCAAAATGGCAGCATGCTGTTCCTCTTAATATAAGCCTTACATATCCCAGGTGGCTTTGTCGCGAGCTGTAAAACAGACGTTGCTGCCACAAATGAAAACATGTGATCATTGATCATCAACCAGTCGAGGTTCCATATGAATTCTCAAAACACGTGAAGGCATTGGGAGACACATTTGAGCACCGCTTTATTTTACTGAGCCCTCATTTGTTGTCCAATATATACACTAAAGAATTTTTAGTCTATCTTTCTTTTCATATCTATCTATCTATCTATCTTGTTCTGTTCATATCTATCTATCTATCTATCTATCTATCTATCTATCTATCTATCTATCTATCTCCGTATATTCACATCTCTCTCTATCTATCTATCGCAGTCTTTATTATCTATCTATCTATCTATCTATCTCAGCTTTCTTCATATGTATCTATCTAAGTCTGTTTCCATCTGTCTGTTTCAGTCTGCTTCCTTCCATCTATCTATCTATCTATCTATCTATCTATCTATCTATCTCAGCCTTTTCATATTTATTTATCTAAGTACGTTTCCATCTATCCATATATATGTATGCATATATATATCAGCCTCTCTTCATTTTCTCTCTTTCCCTATCTATCTATCCATCTATCTATCTATCTAAAATGATCGGAATAAAAAAATATGTATCAACACGGCGATTTTTTCTCACGTCCTACAATAACGACACAAAAAAGATTATCAGAGAATATGAAAGGATCCAACTGAGACAGAACATGTTTAAATTATTTGACAGAAACATGTCTAAAATATATATATATATATATATATATATATATATATATATATATATATGTGTGTGTGTGTGTGTGTGTGTGTGTGTGTGTGTGTGTGTGTCTGGTGTGTGTGTTTGAATGTTTGAGCGCGAGCTTGTGTCCGTAAGGTATATATATATATATATATATATATATATATATATATATATATCCTCACCGAAAATATATTTTCTGTTTATTCAGTTATTTCAGGTCTGCTCACGGAATGTATCGCAACGTAAACCAAATTATGGCGATTTTCCGTCGAAGTTTGTGTGTTTAAAAACAGTTTTTGGGACTTTGTTAATCAGACGCTTCTCTGCAGCTAAATAGTATAGCACGTCGGATCAAACGCCGTATAGGAATACAGTTTCGATTCCTGTCGTAGGACGCATATTTTCTACGAAATTTCTCGAACATTCACGCCGGTAAATCTAATTAATATTGTTTAATTAAAAAAAAATAAAACAGAGGATGTACTTCAATAAACTGTATATAAAAAATAACGTATAGACAAAAAATAGATTACATAATTTTCGAACTTAATCCATTTATATATATATATATATATATATATATATATATATATATATATATATATATATATATATATAAGAATAACAAATATTAAATAATTAAAATTTTCAGACACACTAGGTTGTATATTAATATTTTTTTGTTTTATTATTTCAGTTAGGTTCCTCGACTAGTTTCGGCTAGCATGGACATCATCAGGAAAAAGATATTCCGGCTTGTTAGTAGCAGTGTACTACAGGAATGAATGACTTTCTGAAGAAAATGAACTTTATCTGTAGTTTTCATTTGTCTTTTTATTGATAATTTTCGTCAGTCCATGTGTTGGTCAAACAGCCTCTTTTAAGTTGTGAGACGGGGAAGATGCAAAATTCCTTTCTTGGTCACAAACACACACAGATAGATATAGATGTGTGTGTGTGTGTGTGTGTGTGTGTGTGTGTGTGTGTGTGTGTAAATAATATCGCACATTGAGTGCTGGTGTTAATGAAACATTGCTTGTTGCAATATAACGGAGCTATACATTATATATTACGAAATATACATTTGTTCTCAGCGGTAGAACGACTAGGAGATTCATGCAAAATGCAATCATCAGGTGCTGAATTGAGATTCAATTCAACACATGATGATAGTGCTATGAATAAAACTCCCTGTGGTCCTACCGGTAAGGATAAAATGTATATTTAGTTATATATAAGAGAGAGAGATAGAGAAATAGAAAGAGTGCGAGAGATATAGGAAAAATTTTTAAAAACACAGTGATGCAGATGGAGAGATATAATGTCGTAATGGAAATGAAAAGCGATTAGAAAAATAATCCTTGGAAGCAGGACGGTTATAGTCGACTGTACCATCTTTGAAAATTGGAGAAAACACAAGAAATAAAATGAAAAATACAGAAATATCTTAATGTCGCTGACAGACATAAATCTGAAGGAAATAAAGAATTCCTAAAAAGGAATATTGAAACATATGAGAATTCAATGAAAAAGAAAGAAAAAGCATTTCTCTGATACAAAAAAGATAAAATTGAAAAAAAATGGCTGAGAGAAGAGCCTTAAGCCACAGAAAATATATAAAAAAAAGAATTCTCACAAGCAAGGTCAGCTTGATAACATGAAAATAGTGGAATTTTAATAAAAAATATAATTCAATATCAATTTTCTTCTTTCTACTGACTTTTTCCCTCTCTCTATTTTCATCGTCATTCCCTCCTGTCGTCTATTTTCAATTTGATTTCTTCAGTTAGTTTTTAAAAATTTGCTTTAACGTTAAGTGAGGTGAAATTTCTTTTTTCTTACAAATTTGACGCAATAAATCTTCATTTTTTTTTCTTTTAAATATTCATTTTTTTTACGTTCCGTTCTTTCTATTGTATTTTCTTCTCCGTCGTTCATAATTTTGGATTTATTTTTCCTTCCTTTTTAGTTTTATACCTTTTTGAATTCGTCTCTTCATTTTCTTCCTTTTTTTCATATTTTCTTTCGTTTCTTTCTTTTTATGTTTCGTCCTTCTTTCCATTCTATCATTGTTTCTTTTCTTTATTCTCATTATTTTTCTTCCTTTCTTTCATTTTTAGAATTGCTTCTTTCTTACATTATATGAATTTTCCCGCTTCTTTCTTTCTTTCTTTCTTTCTTTCTTTCTTTTCCTCTGATTGGCCTTTCTTACATTATATGTATTTTCACGCATCATTTTTTATCTTTCATGCTTTCTTTCCTTCTTTCTTTCTGTCTTTCTTTTTTTCTCTTTCTTTCTTTCCCTCTTTCTTTCTGTCTTTCTTTTTTTCTCTTTCTTTCTTTGTTTCTTTCTTTCGTTTTCTCTGATTGACCATTCTTACATTATATCAATTTTCCCGCTTCAATTATTATCTTTCTTTCTTTCTTTCTTTCTTTCTTTCTTTCTTTCTTTCTTCCATCCACCCATCCTTCATTTTCTTTCTTTCTTTCTTTCTTTCTTTCTTTCTTTCTTTCTTTCTTTCTTTTCCTCTGATTGACCATTGAATTATATGAATTTTCCCGCTTCAATTTTCATCTTTCTTTCTTTCGTTTTTCCATCCTTCTTTCTTTCTTTCTTTCTTTCTTTCTTTCTTTCTTTCTTTATTTCTTTCTTTCTTTCTTTCTTCTCCTCTGATTGACCATTCTTATATTATGAATTTTCTCACTTCATTTTCTATTTTTTATTCTTCCGTTCTTTCTTTCTTTTTCCTTCTTTCTTCCCTTCCTTCGTTTCTTTCTTTCTTTCTTTTATTTCTTCTTCTTTGTTACTTTCTTTTCCACTGATTGACCATTCTTATATTATATGAATTTTCCTACCTCAATTTTCATTTCTTTTGTCTTTTACGTTTTACTTTGTTTATTTGTTAGTTTCTTTGTTAGTTTGTTTGTTTGTTTCTTTATTTCTATTTATTTCTTTATTTATTTATTTCCCCTTGATTGACTTTTCTAACATTGTATGATTTTTTTCTCCCTATATTTTTCATATATTTCTTTCTTTCTTTCTTTTCATATTTCTTGCTTTGTTCTTTTTTTCATTTAAACTTTTATTTTTTCTATTCATTGTTGTTCTACCTTTTTTTTCATTTTCACTATTCCTTCTGACTTTATTTTCTCTATTTTTTCCTTCTTCCTTATCTTCTTTTATTCTTTTTCTTTTCTTTCCTTTTCCTTTTCCTCTTTTTCATTCTTTCTTATTTCCTTCATTTTTATTATCTTCTTGCCTTAATTCTTCTTTCCTTCTTACCTTAATTCTTCTTCTCTTCTGTCCTTATTTTTCTCTTCTTTCTTTCCTTTTTCTTCTTCTCTTCTTTCTTCTTCCCTTCTTACCTTATTTCTTCTCTTCTTTCCTTCTTCTCTTCTTCTCTTCTTTCTTTTTCCCTTCTTACCTTATTTCTTCTCTTCTTTCCTTCTTCTCTTCTTTCTTCTTCCCTTCTTACCTTATTTCTTCTCTTCTTTCCTTCTTCTCTTCTTTCTTCTTCCCTTCTTACCTTATTTCTTCTCTTCTTTCCTTCTTCTTTCTTCTTTTCTTCTTCCTTATTTCTTTTCTTCTTTCTTTCCTTCTTCTCTTCTTTCTTCTTCCTTCTTACCTTATTTCTTCTTTTCTTTCCTTCTTTCTTCTTCTCTTCTTTTCTTCTTTCCTTCTTTTCTTCTTTCTTCTCTTCTTTCCTTCTTCTCTTCTTTTCTTCTTCCCTTCTTACCTTTTTTCTTCTCTTCTTTTCCTTCTTTCTTCTTCTTCTTCCATTCTTTCTTCTTCCCTTCTTCCCTTATTTCTTCTTTCTTTTTCTTCTTTTCTTCTTTCTTCTTCCTTGTTTTTCTCTTATTCTCTTCTTTTCCTTCTTTTTCCTTTTTTATTCTTTCTTTTCTTCTTCCTTTCTTACCTTATTTCTTCTCTTCTTTCCTTCTTTCTTCTTTTTCTTCTTCTTCTTATTCTTTTCTTTCTTCTTTCCTTTTCTTTCTTCTTTTTTTTCTCTTCTTTCGTTTTCTTCTTTCTTCTTCCCTTCTTACCTTATTTCTTCTCTTCCTTCTTTCTTCTTCTTTCTTTCTTCTTCCTTCTTACCTTATTTTTTTCTTCTTTCTTCTCTTCTTTCATTCTTCTTCCTCTTTTACCTTATTTCTTCTCTTCTTTCCTTCTTTCTTCTATTTTTTTTTTCTTCCCTTCTTACTTTTATTTCTTCTCTTCTTTTCCTTCTTTCTTCTTTCCTCTTTTTCTTCCTTTTTTCTTTTCCTTTTTCTTTCGTTTTCTTTCTTCTCTTCTTTTCTTCTTCTTTCTTACCTTTTTCTTCTTTCTTCTTTTTTCTTCTCTTCTTTCTTCTTCCTTCTTACCTTATTTCTTCTCTTCTTTCCTTCTTTCTTCTTCTCTTTTTTCTTCTTCCTTTCTTACCTTATTTCTTTCTTTCCTTCTTATTCTTCTTCTTCTTCTTTTCTTCTTCCCTTCTTTACCTTATTCTTCTCTTTTTCCTTTCTTCTTCTCTTCTTTCTTCTTCCTTCTTACCTTATTTCTTCTCTTTTTCCTTCTTCTCTTCTTTCTTCTTCCCTTCCTTTATTTCTTCTTTTCTTTTCTTTCTTTCTTCTTCTCTTCTTTCTTTCCCTTTCTTCTCTTTCTTTTTTTCTTTTTTTCCTTTTCTCTTTTTCTTCTTCCTTCTTCCTTATTTCTTTTCTTCTTTCTTCTTTCTTCTTTTTTTCTTCTTCTTCTTCTTTATTTGTTTTCTTCTTTCTTTCTTCTTCCCTTCTTACCTTTTTCTTCTTTCTTTCCTTCTTTCTTCTTCTTTTTTCTTCTTCCATTCTTTATTTCTTATTCTTCTTTCCTTTTCTTCTTTTCTTTCTTTTCCCTTCTTTCTTATTTTCTTCTCTTCTTTCTTCTTCTCTTCTTTTCTTCTTCCCCTTCTTACCTTCTTTCTTCTTTTCTTTCCTTCTTTCTTCTTTCTTTCTTCTTTTCCCATTTCTTACCTTATTTCTTCTCTTTTTTCCTTCTTTCTTTTCTCTTCTTTCTTTTTCCCTTACCTTCTTTCTTCTCTTCTTTCTTCTTTCTTCTTCTCTTCTTTCTTCTTCCCTTCTTACCTTATTTCTTTCTTCTTTCCTTCTTTCTTTTTTCTTTTCTTCTTTTTCCTTCTTACCTGTTTTCTTTCCTTCTTTCTTCTTCTCTTCTTTCTTCTTCCCTTCTTACCTTATTTCTTCTCTTCTTTCCTTCTTTCTTCTTCTCTTCTTTCTTCTTCCTTCTTACCTTATTTCTTCTCTTCTTTCCTTCTTTCTTCTTCTCTTCTTTCTTCTTCCTTTTTTTTTCTCTTCTTTCTTCTTCTTTCTTCTTTTTTCTTCCTTCTTACCTTTTTCTTCTCTTCTTTCCTTTTTCATCTTTTTTTCTTCTTCCTTCTTCCTTTTCTTCTTCTCTTCTTTCTTTCTTCTCTTCTTTCTTCTTTTCCTTCTTTCTTCTTTCTTCTTTTTTCCTTCTTTCTTTCTTCTCTTCTTTCTTCTTCCCTTCTTACCTTATTTCTTCTCTTCTTTTTCTTCTTTCTTCTTCTTCTTCTTTTTCTTCTCTTCTTTTTCCTTTTTCTTCTTCCCTTCTTCGTTTTCTTCCTTCTTTCTTCTTCCTTCTTTCTTCCCTTTTTCTTATTTCTTTTTCTTTTCCTTCTTTTCTTCTTCTTTTCTTCTTTTTTTCTTTTTATTTCTTCCTTTCTTTCTTTTTTTTATTCCTTCTTTCTTCTTCCCTTCTTTTCTTATTTCTTCTCTTCTTTCCTTCTTTCTTCTTCTTTTTTTCTTCTTCCTTCTTACCTTATTTCTTTCTTCTTTCTTTTTTTTCTTCTTTCTTCTTCCTTCTTTTTTTTCTTCTCTTTTTCATTTTTCTTCTTTCCTTCTTTCTTCTTCTTTTCTTCTTCTTTTTTTTTCTTTCCTTTTTCTTCTTTCTTTTCCCTTCTTTTTTTCTTTTTTCTTCTTCCTTCTTTCTTCTTTCTTTCTTTTTTTCTTTCTTTTTTTCCTTCTTTCTTTTCTTCTTCCTTCTTAAAGAGTTTTTTTCTTTTCTTTCCTTCTTTCTTCTTTCTTTTTCTTCTTCCCTTCTTACCTTATTTCTTCTCTTCTTTCTTTTTTTATTCTTTCTTCTTCTTCTTTCTTTTCCCTTTCTTATTTATTTCTTCACTTCTTTCCTTCTTCTCTTTTTCTTCTTCCCTTCTTTTTATTTCTTCTTTTCTTTTCCTTCTTCTTTTTTCTTCTTCCTTCTTACCTTATTTCTTCTCTTCTTTTTTTTTTCTTCTTCTCTTCTTTCTTCTTCCTTTTCTTACCTTTTTTCTTTCTTTTTCTTTCTTTCTTCTTTTCTTCTTTCTTCTTCCCTTCTTTTTTTTTCTTTTTCTTTCTTGTTTCTTTTTCTTCTTCCCTTCTTACCTTATTTCTTTCTTTTTTTTTTTTCTTCTTCTTTTCTTTCTTTCCTTCTTTTTTATTTCTTCTCTTCTTTCCTTCTTTTCTTCTTCTCTTTTTTCTTCTTCCCTTCTTACCTTTTTTCTTCTTCTTTTCTTTTTTCTTTCTTCTTTCTTCTTACCTTCTTTCTTTTTCTTCTCTTCTTTCCTTCTTCTCTTCTTTCTTCTTCCTTTCTTACCTTATTTCTTCTCTTCTTTCCTTCTTTCTTCTTCTCTTCTTTCTTCTTCCCTTCTTACCTTATTTCTTTCTTTTTCCTTCTTTTCTTCTTTTTTCTTCTTTTCTTTCTTCCCTTATTTCTTCTCTTCCTTTTCTCTTCTCTTCTTTCTTCTTCCCTTCTTACCTTATTTCTTCTCTTCTTTTCCTTCTTTCTTCTTCCCTTTTTTTTTTCTTCCTTTCTTACCTTATTTCTTCCCTTCTTTCTTTCTTTCTTCTTTCTTCTTTCTTCTTCCTTTCTTTTTTATTTCTTCTTTCTTCTTTCCTTCTTTCTTTGGTTTTCTTCTTCTTCTTCTTTTTCTTTCTTTTTCATTTTTCTTTCTTTTCCTTCTTTCTTCTTTTTTTTTCTTTCTTCTTCCTTTTTCTTCTTTTCTTCTCTTCTTTCCTTCTTTCTTCTTCCTTCTTTCTTTTTTTTCTCTTCTTTTATTCTTTCTTCTTTCTTCTTCCTTCTTTCTTCTTCTCTTCTTCTCTTCTTTTCCTTCTTTTTTCTTTCTTCATTCTTTTCTTTTCTTTTTTCTTCTTTCTTTCTTTCTTCTTCCTTCTTTCCTTTTTCTTTCTTCTTTTCTTCTTTTCTTCTTCTTTCTTTTTCTTCTTCCCTTCTTACCTTATTTTTTTATTCTTTCCTTCTCTTCTTTCTTCTTCCCTTCTTACCTTATTTCTTCTCTTCTTTCCTTCTTTTCTTTTTATTCTTTTTTCTTCCCTTCTTACCTTCT